TTTATTCCAGGTAAGATACAGCATATATTATTGTGACCAAAGGATATTAAGAATACTAACTGTTCATCTGTAGGCTGTGGGCTAACTTAAAATGTAATGTTTAACTAAATTATTGGGCTGGATGGTAAATTTATTTTTCCATTATGTCTGTAGCGTACCAGATTTGATAATCAGAGTATTTGGGGCATCTTGCACATAGAAAGTTTTCTATTGAAAACATTTACTTCCCAATGCAAAATATCATAAAAACCCTATTCCTGCTAGCAGTTTGAGAGACCAGTTGCTGCCAGAGGAAGGGAGTTTTACTCTGTGCCTTTGTTTCACACAAGTAAACTAGAATGAATAGTCCTAATTACTGTACTCTAAAGAATCCCAGAAATGACTGCTAAAAACCATATAACACAACGTCATAATGTGCGATTAATTTAATCAATTTGTTTGACAAAGGCTGTGAAAAAATAAAATCAAAAGCTTGATTTGACTGATCAGTCACTTTATTCAAAATATTTGATTCACAACTAAAATCATAATATTTGGCAATAGTCAAAATGGATATCAATGCCATGAAGGCTCAGGTCACACAGACTTTGAGAAATATACTATAATGTCATCCAGTTTTACCAGGTACAGTAAGGGTGAGCTACATGAATACTCTAAAGGTATGTCTTTATGTTCTGAAAATTCCTTCATAATGGCAAAGCTGGCACTTTACAGTTTTCAGAGCTATAAATCATTTTTAAAATCATGATGATACTCAAAGCAGATGTGAAAGCATATGTTTGCCACAGTTGTATAAACTGCTTACTTGTCACAGTTAATAAATGTTGACATGTCTACTTTAACTCATTTCCTTTAATAACTAAATTCTATTTCAGGAAAATATTTCTTTTCTTACCATCACAAATATAACTGGTAGAATGTGACATAGAGAATCCCATTTAAATAAGAACCTTTCCTCTATAACTGGAGTGCAATTTAATATGCCTCTCTTGTTTATTAATGTCCTCATCAGGATATATGACCAACTTATTTGACTTAAACAAGTAAAATTGTACCATTCCATAGCAAGAGATTCAGAAATACCAGTGCATGCCACTATATATTTTATAAAAATCAGTCACTATACATCTGTAGTAATACTCCAGCTGATTTTTCATAAGACACAATAGAGTATGCTTGAGTGCTGCAGTACACAGGACAGTCCCAAATGCCATTTTGACTTACGAGGTTTGCAACTCTGATTGTACCATATGTATCATGTACAGATTGAGACTTTCCTAGCAAAGCTGCTTTACTACCAAGCTGCCCTTTAAATAGTCGTGACATGGTGGGAAAAAAGTCTCAGGAACAAATTGTTGCTCGGTTATAAATGAAATTCATCTATAACTAGAATTTCATTACCCGTGCGAGAGTTTGGGTAGTTTAATATCATGAATCTGACTTCTTTCATTCTGACAATTATTCTGAAATCAATCATTTGCATTTCGGAGCCCCAGTGGGCATAGCCTTTCACTGTCAGGCTACTGAAAATACAAAACATGTGGCAAGAAAAGCAACCATAGATCAATGAAATTAAAATCATACACTATTTCAAATTCCAACTAAAATGCTCATCAGGTAATTATGAAGCACATTCAGTTTACAGAAAAAAGAAAATATTCTCCATTAACCCTTCAGTTTGTGATGCATTTTTTCTATATATTATTGGCACCATTACTAGATGGAAAAATTTACCCTGTGGTGAAGTACAAATAAACTATCCGATGATCTGATAAATTACATGTTAGCCACTGTCTAACTCATGGTGACAGCAACAATGCATAACCTATACTATATGATTATACATTTTCCTTTTCTCTTACCCTTTCAGCCTTTTAAACAAAGATGTACTCAGGTTTCATATTAGGAGAGTATCACTTTGAAATTCTTACTCTCTCTATCTTCCTTGAACAGCTCTCCTAAGACATAACTGGATATTGTGCAGAGATGATACATGTACCGCACCAGATCAAAAGGCAGGCTGAGATCATATCTATTAGTATTTCAGATAATTACCTGATGGGCTAACTTGCTCAGCTTTCATTTGAAATGTTCAAATTTGCATATATTTTAAAAATCACTTTCAAGTGTTGAGGGAAACAGCTATCCTCTATGACAGCAACTGGATTTTGTGAAATATAACCACCGATTGGTGAATCATTTAAACATCGTTAATAAAATAAATATATAATACAAAGAGAGTCAGATGTCTCTGAACTGGCAAAGTAAAAGGGCTTTAAATAAAGTTTCCAACCACATGCACAGACAAATTTCAGGTGGATATGCAATTTATAACCTCCCAAATAAACAAGCTTCTGATAAACATCATGTTTTCTACTATTGAAATAACGTATCCAAAGCTGGTATGAATCTATTCTTACTCAGGGAAATGTGGATGCACTATATAGCACACAGGTGTTAGCTGAGTTACTATCTGATTATTATATGTGGATCAAATAAGCAAAAATCATTTTACCTTTATTATCTGTTTGGAACATTTTGATGGTTGGTCCATTATCCTGATCAACAATAAGTTCCTCACTATTGTTGGGTATCATAAATATAAATAAGAGGTGTAACTGAGTAATTTTCTATGTGAAATACCCAGAAAAAAGGTAGAAAAGCATCACACAAATGGCTAATGTTCTCTAATAACAACTAATAATAACTAGAATAACAGGAATTTCTACTGTTTCAGATGTAGAAGTATGTAAAACTAAGTAAGTTTTACATATTTCTACATCTAAAAGAGTAGAAAGATTTTTTTGTTAGTCTGAAGATCATATAATGAAAATAATCAGTAAGCTGCTTAATTGTGTGAGTTCCAAAATATAATTAATATATACACATATATACATATGGGCTTGTATATTTGCCAGCATAGCAAGATTGATAGATAATATAATTTTCTGGAAATTATGATTCTTTATAAAACATATTGAAAGACAAAAAATGCTAATTTTCAGAGTTTGTAACTTAATTCTCTTTAGTCATATGATATTCAAACATTATACAGCTCTATTAATAAAATATGGTAGTTGTAGAATTAAAAATTCTCAAGCCTTTTTATTTGTTTATAGAAAATCTTGCTATCATTCTTAGACAACTGTGTAATGTGCATGTAGAGCCTAATTACTGCCAGTGTAATTAGAAATAAACTATATTGTCAAAACTTTTTCTAGGATTTTACATTGCTTTGGCTATATTTGATTTTACTTCTAAGTATAAGTTGCCCATCCTTTTATGATATATATATATATATATTACCAAGTATATTTCCCTATGCGCTCTACTTTTTAGCCAGCACTCAGTAAATAATTATCTTTGTATATCCCTTTCTCCTTTTTGTCTCCTTCTTCCCACCCTCATCAATGTGAATAGTATCTTAATGGAAGAATGTGTCCTTTTGTTTCTTGACTCATTAGTGTTCACCCATCTGTAGATTCTCATTCTTTCTCAGACTTTCTTGAATCAGTTATATACAATGTTGTAACAACCAGGTGGTTTATGTCATAGAAGAGAGTAAAGCTAGAAGACATCTATCATGTCTTCCAGGAATTAAACTTCCTCTCTCAGGGCCATTAGCCTCAAGCTCTAACCCACTGGTTCTTAACCCTGGCTGTACATAAGAATCTCGAAGAAATACTGAAAAGCAAAACCAAATACTGCTTCCCAGGCTCTATTCCAGATCAAGTGAATCAAACTCTGAACGTGTGACCTCAGAATCCATATTAATAAGACCTCCATAGGTGATTATAATTGGGAGCCAGATTTGATAACCACTATGCTCACTATGAGCATGTTTGTTCCCCAAACAACATGCCATATTGACAAGTTAAGTGAGATTTGGATTAATTTCCCCAAGGGATATTCTTCATCCTTCTGGAATCTAAAACCTTGCCTAATCTCCCAAATTTCTCTTCCCCTCAGAAAATACATTATTTGGAAAGGCTGGAAGCAATCGCTATTATGAGCTGTAAACATTCAGAGTTCACTTAAAGAACTTGTCCCTTGTAAGACTACAGGAATAGCAAAAACCGTTTCCCCCCAAAAAAATGGGTACATAGGAAATTGGACTGTGCAGGTATAGAAGATTAACAAAGATTTTATCTAGCTCAATTGATCCGTAATTACTACATACCAAATGAGAATTTGTGACAGCTGAATGCACCCCTCAACTTCTATATACCTGAGTAGAATTAGATACCAGGAAATGATAAGTAATCAAAGTCAAGTCACACAGAGAATAGTAATTTTTATCACACACACTTCCTTGGCACTTTTTTCACATAATATTTAATTTCACCTCAATAATCCAGTACATTAGACAGGGTGATAGTTTTTTCCATATAATAGGTAAAGAAACTCTTGGTGGTTAAGTGGCATACACAGGAGGTTATAGCTAGTTAGTGCCAGACCTGAAGCTGGATTAAAGTTCCCAATATGCCACATCATCACCAATTTCTAGAATAGCATTTATGGTGTAAGGCTTCTGACACAACAAAATATATATAAATGTAGGGGAAATCATGTTAAATATTTGTGATCTAAGTTGTTGAGATTGTAGCAAATCTCATATTGACTTACCTTTTATTCACTCTTAAATGGGAAACTGCCTAAAGCATATTTTATCTTCTTTTATTCAAAAGGTTGTTGTGAATGTGTCAGGTGTATTATATGACATATAGAACTCACACATACTCTACACACATTTCATCATAGTGCATCCATGAGATTGAATGATACAGTAAAGGAAGATTTTTTGCAGAGAACAAACTTCTAACAATGTAAGTTTCATTTTGTTGGTCATATTGCGTCAGCAATTATAAATGACCAAATTTCAAAAAGCCATTTATATTAAGAAGTTGTCAGCTTCCCCAGCTTTTCCCTCTCCTCTATGTTTCCTAACAACGAATTTCCTACAACATTTTCCAGTCACCTGTTTCAGACAAGTTACTCACCCATTCTTTCCAAATGATGTTCCATCTGAGAGGGAGAGCTGGACACACTGCTGCTGCTGTGGGAAGAGGTCTGGCTCCCAGGGCAATGATTCTCTTCCAGAGAAGGAGCAGGAGAGGGACTCTCTGGGATCCGCTCCTGACACAAAAGGAAACACAAAAGAAGTGTCATCTATGCGCCAAGTTTTTTTGTCAGTTGTGTCTATACATGTGACATGTTGATCTCTTATCATGAAAGTTCACAGATCTGCAATACTTGGTCTTAAATACATATCTTTAAACAAAAATATATTTTCGATTCTTGAGAAATTAATGAAATATCATGAGGGCTAAATTATAGAAGAAGGCAAAAAAGCATATGGTAAAGGCTCAAGAAAAGTTAATTTCCATTCACTCTCCTAAAAAATTCATAAATGATTAATAATGTAGGTGTGTTTTGAAGATAATTTTGTATGGGAGCTTCCAGATCGATGTAAAGTTCATGGCAAGGCCTGGAAGGTGATATTCCTATCTCATTAAGAAGGAGAACTCCCACATAAAAGACTTGAGAGCCCTGGAATAAAACTCACCAATCGTGGCACCTGGTACATGTTGAAGTTTTCTGTAAGGACAAAATTTATGGAAAAATATACCTGTATATTAGATACCTGTAATTTCTCAGATCTTAATAACTTACATTGTATTCTGCCAACAAAATATTTTAATAGGCCAGGTGTGGTGGCTCACGCCTGTAATCTCAGCAGTTTCTGAGGCTGAGGTGAGTGGATCACCTGAGGTCAGGAATTCAAGACCAAAATGGTGAAACCCCATCTCTACTGAAAATACAGACAATTAGCCGGGCATGGTGGCAGGTGCCTGTAATTCCAGCTACTTGAGAGGCGGAGGCAGGAGGATCCTTTGAACCCTGGAGGCGAACGTTGCAGTGAGCCGAGGTCATGCCATTGAACTTCAGTCTGGGCAACCATAGCAAAACTCCATCTCAAAAAAAAAAAGTTATGATGGTAACAGTACACAATTATTGTTTTTTTTCAAACTTACACTAAGAATTATCAAGGTCAATTCCTCTAGTATTCCATAGATTTTTGTAGTTTTCAATAATGGATTTCAATAAAATAAGATATTTATGCATACTTCTGCAGTAATTATTATGCCTCTTAAGACTTTTGTGATTATTAAAATTGCTATAAAAGACTGAAGCTATTCACTGTTTATGCACCACAAATTGATGAATAAATCCAAATCATTAAGTTAATTTTATCAATAAAAGAATGAAATTACAGTCTTTATGCACATATGCAATAAATGTGACTGGGTGATAGACATGTTGGGGCAGACAGTGTTCTATAATATATTTAATTCATTCATAATAAATTTCTTAAATTAAATATTCTGCCTAATTGTCTGTAATCACAACATCAGTATTCTAATCATCATAACATTAAGAAATAGTTTGTCAAACATGTGCTTGTACATTTCCACATTGATTTTGCATGAGAAGCCCAAATAAATCCCCTCAAAAGTTGCTTGTCTAATGCAAAAGTAGTAGAATGAGAGTTAAAATTTATTTTTTCATTCGTAGTAGTTAACATTATCCAATGTCTGCCATTGCAGCAGGCAGAATGATGCCATCGCCCCAGCTTAAAATATGCAATCCACATTATAATTATCAGAACCTGTGAATTTGTTACTTCACACGGCCAAAGGGACTTTGCAGATGCAACTGAGAATCATGAAATAGAGAGGCTATACTGGATTATCTTAGTGGACCCAATCTGATCACCAGGATTCTAAACTGTGAAAGACACAGGCAGAAAAGAAGGGTCAGAGGCAGGCATGACTACAGAAGAATGGTCACAGAGATGCAATATTGCTGGCTTTGAAGATGGAAGAAGGGAGTCATGAGCAAAGAAATGTGAGCGGTCTTTAACAACAAGCACTGGGCACTTCTAGAGGGGGTAGAGAGGGAGAGCGAAAGGGCTGAAAAACTACCTATTAGCCACTATACTCACTGCCTAGGTCACGAGACCATTAGTGGCCTAAACCTCACCATCACATAATGTATCCATGTACAAAACCTGCACAGGTGTCTCATAAATCTAAAATAAAAGTTGAAATTATTTTACAAGAAGAAAAGAAAATAGATAACAGATTCTTCTCTGGAGTCTGCAGAAAGAAATGCAGCCTTGACCACACCTTGCTTTTAGCCTGGTGAAACTCATGTCCAACTTCTGACCTACAGAAATCCAAGATAATAGATTTGCACTGTGTGAAACCACTAAAGTTGTGGCAATTTGTTATAGCAACAATAGAACACTAATACAATCATTAATGTAGCATCCATATTTTTAAATTTTGTTTTACATTATTGCTTAGCATTTCATTAACATCCAATAACTTCAGTGAAATAAATACTAGACTTTGAGTATATTAGCTGCAGTATTATATGCTAATTAAATACCAATAATGTTAAATGTATATTACGTTTTAAGGACTTTATAGCTTTTGTCATTCCTCCAAAACAATGTTTTCAAACAAAGGAGTATACCCATACATTTTATTTATATTTAGTATGCAGGAAAATATCTGCTTGTCACATAATGTCTGCAGGGAAAAATCGAAAGAAATATAGATGGAAAGCAGAAGAAAAGAATCAATATTTTTCCCCAAAAATTCTATTCACATTTTGGAGGGATGACATGGGTACTGACAGCAAGATCCATACAGCCCTTCTATCACATCCTTTCATGTTCTTTAAAAAAGACTAGTAGTTTATCAGTTGTGAAATTCAACTTAAAAAATAATGCTTTAACATACATTCTGTAAATAGTACATGTGTGCGTGTGTGTGTGCATGTGCATATGCATCAGTGCACACAGACACACACACACGCACGCACACACACACCAGTGAAAGGAATTTAATGTATGTGGCCAATTTTTTTTTTTGCCTTTCACCATTGTGTCTCATTGATTCCATGCCAAAATATGTGCAAAAACTGTATAACATTCAGCATTTGTGTTTGAATTCCAACACTGGAAATTTCCTTTAAATATGTGTAATTCAATGAACTATATTTATCTCTAATGGACCTCTGAATGAATGGAGAGGGACAAAGTGCAGCAATTACTGTGAAAAAATAAAAGTGACAGAAGGAAAAATCACTGTGTAATAGCAAACTAGAATCACATATACAGCAATGTATGATGCTGTAATAAAAATAAACAATTTTGGAGTGATCCACACAGTTTCATGGTTTAAAAAGGCAAGAGAATCCAACTGACAGTGATACTTGGTCTTGCCCACTCTGCCTAATAAAAACTAAAAGCTCATTATGAGTAAATAATAATTAGAAGAGCAGCTATCCAAATAGAAAGTATCATGAATGTTAACAAAAAAACCACAATGGATATTAATTAATATTAAGAAAAAATAGTGGATTCCCCTAATACATTTTAAATTAGCATATGATCAAACAATATAAACTCCAACAACTTATGCTGAAACTCCTTCTTTGCATTTTCAGCAGCATATTATGTGAAACAATGAACAAACTTTAAGAATATCATTTAGAAAATGAATATTAAGAGTGACAGTAACATTTTGCATGAAGCAAATTTTCTGCTTTAAGAGTTTGTAGCCTGTATTTACCAAATTCAATCAAGGTTCAGTCCATTGTTAGTTTTCAAAGGAAGCACTGAAGTCAGACTTTTTTCACGATGCAAACCATGTTATGCAAATGCAGTGTCTTTTATTGATTAAGAATTATGTGTTTTTTTCTAATCTCTGTGGAAGTGGAATGTTTAAGTTCTCCTAAAATAGTGAATAATTATATGAACAATTTCTTCTTTGCAAGTAAACAGATCCATTTTTCACCCTGTAATATGTATGCATCCATTTAGCTACTTAACTGCAATATGCTTTGGTTCATTAGTTGGCTACTGTTGTGTCTCAGCCTAGTTAAAATTTCACAGCAAGTTAATCTGTTTTATTACAAATGAGAACACAAGTGATAATGTCTTCACCATTTGCCAAATACAGGGTTAACAGTATTTGCAACAAATCAATAAGTACATTTAAAAAGGAAACTTGCAAATCTAAAACCCCAATCATTTGTACTCATTGAAAACCTCATTTATGTGGCATTTATGACTTTTACAACCCTGTTACTCATGATGTATTTAATTTGTGCCCCGCTGGAAACAGCTGTAGCTCCTGTGAAACACCACAGAAGTCTTCTCCAGATCCGAAGTAGGAAAGGAGATTTCCAAAATGTATACATTCTCACACAATGAAATTTCTATTTTTCCCAATAATTAGAAATATTATCTTCAATAATAACTCAGATTCCGATGTGTGCTTGCATAGTTCAATGACATTGCTAAAAAGGGTAAGTTGTGATAGAAAAATCTGTTAATTAGTACAAACGATCCCTTCTCTACTATACCAGTTCCTTTTCTTTAGAGATATATCACAAGTGGTTAAAAATGATGCCTATGATATCAATTTATTTGAAAGTACATTTGAACCTTCATAAATAACAAGGGCAATGTTTAGAAAATTTAGTTTCTTATAAGGTTAAATAAATACAGTCATTTTTGCTTAGGACTCAGTTTATTGGCACTAAAATATCATCTCTGACCATGTTTATAGAGACCATTTATTTCATCTCAATATATTCTTTTACATTCTTGGGAATATGGAAGTATACGAAGAATTTATTAAGTACTAACATATGTCTGTTAAATATCTGTACCATGTGGTAATATGTATGTACACGTTTCATTGCCTTTTAAAAACAACTGTCTCAACGTTGATTGCCTCTGATATTTTATTATGTTGATTGCCTCTGATATTTTATTATATTGATTCCCTTTAAGCATTCAATAGGATTATGTAATATGTCTTTTTGTTTTCATTTAGTTTGACTTCAACTCTCACTGTAATTACTCTTCCAAATGTTAACCTATTAATGAGTTCCTAAACGATTTAATGGCATTTTGCTGCTGAGGAGTGGCTTTTGGAAGTTTATTTGAATGCTGGATATTTTATTCATGTATTTGTCTTGCTATTTCATCTTTAATTGATGTACTCCTTCTGTGCTGTCACCAGAGTTCTGCAGAAACAGAACAGATTGTAACT